ATTTAGCTATCCCGTGTTATATGTAAAACACTTTGACCTTTTTAGGGCTTTTATTCCACTGTCTTTGGTAAAATGATTGGTGACCTTTCATTTAGGGAAAAATGAAAAAAGACTTGTCAACAAACCATCTGCATATCTATTTTTGTCTCTGCTAGTTGGAGAAACAGCTGCAGGTAAGGCATCTCGTAGCCTGGCGCAGCACATCCCTGGCCCAGGCAACATGGAAGGCATGAAGGGGGCCGCATCGGGAGTTGTGGGAGAACTTGCCCGTGCCAGAATAGCTCTGGATGAGAGAGGGCAGAAGCTGGGCGAGCTGGAGGAGAGAACAGCAGCCATGATGGCCAGCGCAGAGTCCTTTTCCAAACATGCGCATGATGTACGTGAACGGCATCTGTTTGAATGCTTGTGTATATATTTTTTTCTTTTTCAGGTTATCACATTAATCCTGATTCACATTTTTCCCCACTTTACTTCCTTCAGATGATGCTGAAATACAAAGATAAAAAGTGGTACCAGCTCTGATGGCAGCGTGTGGAGCATCAGACTCTGTAATTTCACACACCAGTATCTCTGAGGAGCTGCAGGTCCCTCTACTTCTCTTCTCTATTTCTCTCCACGGGGGAGTTATGCGCAAAAGAATTGGGCTTTTTTTTTCGTTTTCTTTTTCCCTCAGCGTAATATTATCCCTCTGCATTACCTCAGTCACCCGAGGACCTCTGCAGCACAGACACTGTCCAGTGCAATGCAATGAGGATGGAAAGAGGAAAGAAATGGAAGAAGAGAAGCTCTTAGGAGACTCTCATTCCATTTTCACCTGAGAGTGATGACGTTCATTTAACATCAGTCCACACAGTAGGAGAAGAGGGGACCTTTCATATATCCATCAGGCATATATAAAAAGATATAAAGTGCTGTTCTTTTAGCCTGACTGCATTTGGTCATACTCTGCCCTTTATGGTGTCTGCTAAACACAGTGGACTTAAATGAGGAGGAAAGTCTGATGACCCCTTGTCCTTCAATTCTAATCAACTCGATGAACGTGCAAGTTTCTGTAGTAATGATTAAATCACTGAAGGACTTGTTTGTTTATCTGTCTAAATTATTTTTGGAGTTTGTCTTTTTGCATCTGTAAGTATGGCTTATCCTTCCTTTTTTTTAATATATTGTTTTTGTCTAGAAAGGGCCTTTGAAGTGGTTAGAAGAGTAAATAAATGGGCAGGGAGATTCTGAATCTATTGCCTCTCACCAAATAAGGGCTGGTAGTACACTAGTTCATCGCCGACCATACCTTTTTACAGCTTTTGCCAAGCAAATGGGTTTTGGGTGAGAAAGACAAATGGTGAATTTATGGAATCACTCTGTTTTATTTTTAAATGTAATTATTTATGGGAAGCGAATAATAGTTGGGGATTAAATAAAGCTGGGCATTAAGTTTTATTTTGTTTCTTCTGTCTATTAAATGCGAAAAAGAAAGTGCTGAAAATGTTTACCCCAATGACGAGTTTACATTGACCTATAATAAAAATGAATTGATAAGAGTGGATACACTGGAAAATCCATGAAGAGTTTATTTTCTTGAGGCTTTCAAGGGGCTATGGCAAAGTCATGTATGAGAAGGATGATGTGTTGATGGGCAAGGCTAAGATTGCCCTTAATATAATTAAATATATATATATATATATATTTTGGTTACAAATTTAAGTTTTACCTGTCTTAAAGATGTATCTATATATGATCATTCAAATTTTTATTGGCATACATTTGTAGCTGAATTTTTTTTCTTTCGTTTTTTTTTTTTCAGTCTTGTTTCTCAATGTGTAGGAAAAAAAGCATGTGTCTCTTACAGCACAATGGAAGTGATAACGCTGTGTTTGTATCTGTAGCTGCCAGTAGAAATGACCAAGCACACATACGTGTTCCACGCAGTGCCGTTGGTCATCTCTCTCTGAACCATTAACTTAAAAAAACAGTTTCTGCCTTTGCCTCATGACGCATATATGCTAACCTCTACCTACGTGTATATCTGTGTCTTTGTAAACATACATATATTCAGGAATATGTGTATGGGCGCCAATGTCTATATAACAATATATTGACCTATGTATTACAATAGGTCTTTTGAGGTTTTTGTTTTTGCTTGACAGTGTTTTTCAATGTGATTAACCGGAATCCTATTGTAATTAGATTAGATTTCTTTTTCATGAGGTGTGAGGATATGCTGCTAGTTGTGTCAATATAGGAGCATTATCTGTCGGGCTTTTATTTTGAAAGGAGGGGACAAGACTTTGTCAGTTCAGTTTGCTGCCAAATGTTGTATATAGCGCAACAGCTGGACACAAATCTGACAGTGTGGGTTCAGGTAATGTGACATACCGTATGCTTGCGGCCATGTTTTTTTCTGACACCAAAGAGTTTCTTAATTTCACAAAGTTGTCTTGATTCATTTTTCCCCAGGCGTTAAGAGGCAGTCAGGATAGTTTGATGACACTCTTAAGAAATCTTCTGTGTGTAAGGGGGCGGGGTTTAGGGAGGAGATTGGCTTCGCTTCGTCTTATGGGCATGAAACCTTCATTACTGCCCCAAACTGCTGGACACGTATAAAGTAAACCCAAGGAGTTTCATTCCAAAATGGGATATCCAGCAATGGAAATGGAAATTGACTGAATACTTGATCCTAGAAACTGCGAGGAGGTTTGAAACCTCTTTTTATTTCTGTGTATTATATCACTGAAATAAAGAAAACGTACCTAGAAAACATTGGGTGAGCAGTTGCAATATGGAGATACGATATTTTCGAATAAAACCCTTCACTTTTAGATGGCTGATTTTAAATCTACTGTATACTATTGAGATAAACCCATTTGGAAGAGCAGTTATGTGGGTTTTGCACTATTTTTTTGTACTTCAAATGATTTTGTTAGTATGATTTTTAAAGTGTTGATTCCTCTGTCCCATTTTCTTATGTTTCAAAGGACCAAAACATGACAGAACCTATGCTTATTTATGTCATTTGCCAATTATGCTGATTTCTTCACTCTCAGATTTGTTTTCCATGTCAACATTAATGTCCAAGCTATGGCTGTGCATAAATATCCATCATCCAGACATGACAATGAACGTTTTCTGGTATATATTTAACATGCTCATCTCAGATTTAAGCTTTCCTCCTGCAGATCGAACCATCCTCCTTTGAGTGGGCCGCTGAGTCTTTTTACAAAGTGTGGCCTCAACTTTAAAGTGCTTCAGTTTGCAACATATATGTCCTAAATGGTCTTTTATTGCACATTGAAGGATGCATGATATTAAGTGTTTACAAACTTGAAACAACCATGTATTATCCCCTCTTAGAGATTGTCTGTTCTAGCATTTGTATTAACCACCATGCTGAACAAAGCTGAAGTTCTCTTCACACATCTGGAGTGCGTCCCATTTTCATTTGATCATGCCAATTGTACACATGCGAGAGATTATATTTATTTTTTATTGGTACATCTGTTAATGTTGCTGTTTGCTTCATGAAAACTCTTGCTCTCCCTGCGCTGTAAAAATGCATTGAAGTTGGAAGCTAGGCTCACAGCACCGTGCAGGAGAGCTCGAGGGTTTCTCACTCGCCATACTTCCATCCGTCTGTCTTCTGGGATGAATATCTGTGGAGTTGCAGTATTTTCTCATAGTAGGCGATTTTTGTACAGTTTTATTAAAATAAATTTCACATGGATGTCTGACTTTATCTGCTGCCACAATTTAGACTGTAGATACAGTATATATAGATATTATTGTGCAATGGAAAATAAATGTAAAACCAACCGTAATGAGTTATGTGTTTTCCATTTTATTTTATTTTTTATATATATATATTTTTTATACCTGAATCTTTTGGCCTCCGCAGGTCAGAGTTCAGTGGCTGTTCTGGATCATTATGTCTTGTTTAAAGACTTTTGGGGCAGCTCTGACACTGACCTGATCGTTTTAATGGACAGCTTTAGAATACGTGTGTTTAAGCGTGTGAGTTAAATCTGCCAGATTTAGACATTCAGGCAAATTTCCATCTGCACTTTCAACTTTCAGAGTCTAATTTTTCACATTTTTGCAGTTGCTCTTCCTCTGTGAAAGACCTCTGGAAAGTCTTTGTTTACTTACTCTCATGTAGTATTAATCAACATTTTTGTGTTTTGGGAAGTTTATACATAGCAGGGTAGAGAATTCATATAAATAAGTTATGTAATAGATATTTATAGGTGGTATTTTAATCATATTGGTATACTAAATGCCTATAAAAGTATACTATTATGAGTGCCAGTGATCCACTTAGTTTGAAGACTTCCTGCTAATGCTAAACAACAACATAAAAACAAAGAAAATAATTTTTCCCTATCAAAAACTTTTTCATTGTTTGTTTGTTTGTTTTTGTTTTTTGAATGACACAAACAAGCATCCATACAGATACAGCAGCTGCTTTGTGTAATGTTTTGGTCAAGGGTCAGACCAACATAGCATCTGGGCACTGTCCACGATATAGATTAAGCCGATTTTGTTTTTGTTTGTTTGTTTGTTTGTTTGGGTTTTTTTTGGAGGGGGGGTGTTATCTAGTGTTATCTAAGGTTTCTCCACTGAATTTTTTTTCTCCACGCAGTCCATGTTTCAAAAACTTTTAATATGTGTAAGTTTTAGTGATTTTTTTTAAATTATTTTGGGGGGTTTGGGTGAAATTATTAAAGTTTAAATTCAAAATTCAAAATTAAAATGATTAAATTAAAGTAAAGGATGGAAATAAACACTTTTGGTAGTATTTTTTAAATTACTTTTACATTATTATTTTTGTTTGTTTTTATTGTAATGTTTTTGTGTGTGCTTTAGATTTTATTTTATTTTATTTTATTTTCAGCGACCGTTCCTACATTTCCCAGCAGCCCCTGCAGGTGGCGCCGCCGCTCTAAGAACTCCCGTCGTCCAGCGGGATAGAAACTACAGCGGTGAGTAAAGATCAGGAGCAGCAGCATCCTCACTGTCTGACGAACCGGCGGATGGAGCGGAGGGACGGCAAACTTGAAAACGGTAAAAGCCGGGGACAAAGTAAGCCGCAACACGTGTTCTCTGAATAGCCATAGACGATTTCTGTGATTTATTTTGTACCATTTGTATTTCAGGTTTTATATATTGCTGTGTTTGAAACGAGATCCTTTTAAGTCTGTGCTTCGGATGAATGTTTTTGATGGACCTCCGCGTGTTGCTCAGTTGCCGCCGCGATGAATGAAACAAAGACGATGGACGCACACTGACCAACACCAACTCTTTGACGTTTATTGTTGTACTTTCATTTTAAAATCTAATAGAAACACAGCGGACTCACTTAAAGAGTTTTTCCCCCGCTAACGTTAACTTTACGCTTCCCTTGACTGCTCAGACTAGCTAAACAGCCTTGCATTTAGAAGTCTCGCTGACTGCATCCAAGGGGGAAATTGTTATGTGAAACCCTTGGCCCTTTCCCAAACTTTTAGCGATGTGACAGCAACAGAGTCTGAACCGGAAAACTTGGGAAGTGCAGGTGTCTCAGCGTGGCTGGGTGAGGTCAAAGGGCAGCTGACAGTACCCTGCTGTCTCCTGACATGCGTCTGCTTTGCTGTCTAATGCTCTATCCACAAGCAATACATGGGTTTGCTTTGGAGAAGTGAACTGGAGACTGTGTAAAGTTTTACGGACCACAGTGCTGGATTGCCACCGCACAGGCCCAGCGCAACAGCACCAGTGTGAATGGAGATGATGATGATGTGCACTTAAATTTTTTTTCTATTTCCAGTCTTAAGATGAGCCAGGGGCCAAATCTCGTCCTCCAGTGGCTGTCTAAGCTCCACCTGACCCAGTATGTGGAGTCATTCTTTGACAATGGGTATGATGACTTGGAAGTTTGTAAGCAGATTGGAGAACCAGACCTGGATGCTATCGGGGTCCGCATTCAGTATCACAGACACAGGCTGCTCACAGCAGTGCAAGCGTTAAAAGAGGAGGACAAAAGGAAAGCACCTGGGTACTATTTCACCTTAGAGCCTCTGGATGCTTCTGCCTGCCACCACATCTCATACTCAGACAGACTGGGTGACTTGGAGACGCCGAGGTGTCACACACAGACTGCAGGAGTGCACCAGGCCTCCTGTCCTGGGAACCATAACCCGAGGTTCACAGACTGTAATGACTTTGTGACTTATCCCAAACTGAAGCTCAAAGTACTCATACGGGATAAACTTGCAAAAGATGGCATTAACCTGGGACAAGCACCTTACACCCACAAGGTAGGATATTTTGACTTCATCTCTTGCAGTTAAGTTGATAATAAATGCTGGGTCTTTAAGAGCTGTCTCATTGGATTTAATATGCTTACTTTACTGCGAATGTGATGAAGAGTGTGACAAATTTCTTTGATAGTGCTGACGTCAAGTGATTCTTCTTTGAGGATGTGTTGGAGTCTCTGGCAAAGGTTCACTGAGGTTCATTGTAGTGTTAGTTTACTCAAAACATTTCCATATTAGTGTTAAACTTAACTGGATTAAATCTAATTGAATTGACTGATTGGGTACTTGGTGAAACAGTAGTAAGACTTACAAAGCCTTCTGACCCTCAGTGTACATCTTTTAAATTAAGTTAAGGTGATTTTATGTGGAAAAAAATGTTGAGTTCAAGCGTTTAGAAGACATTATCCCACTCTGCCATAATCCTTTGCTGTAGCACCCTTCACACATCCAAACTGGGGCATTAAATCCACACTGGAATTGAATTTGAGCACATAAAATGAAAAATGTGGTGTTTTATAATAAAAGATTTGCTGCAGCTCCAGCTGTTTGGCTCTGTAGCCGTGGATTCCTGCTTAGAATACACCATGTTTTACCATCATGTACATGTAAATCAGAAATTTCCACATGGAAATGGAAAAAGGATCATCGCTGACCCATTTGACCATTAGTCTTTTCTTTGATAACATTAAAACAGACTGAATAACGGCCGCCTTTTCTTTAAGGGAGGCAGAAACCTTTCCAAGCATTTGAATTTTCACCCATTCCTGCAAATAATGCAATTTGGTGACTACACGATTTTTACATGTAGGACAGTGTGGTGGGGTTTCTGTTCTGTACTTATTATAGCTATATGGAGAAATGTGTATACATCGTGCAAAATATTATAGTGTAATTCTTTTTTTTAAATGTTACAAATAAAATTTCTCAATGGTTAAGCCTCATCCCATCATCAATGACTATTACTATTAGCCAGTTTCAACATCTCAAAATACAATTTGGATACAAAGTGTTTTTGTTGCTGATACTTTACACAAAAAAAATCTAAGAGATGTGAGTAATTTGGGATTTCTAGCAAATTCTTATACACAAGTCTTCTGATCTATAAATATTTGTAAAAGTTATATATTGCAATTTTAAAATATAATAATATTTAAAATATTTTAAATTTCCCCTTGTCCAAGCGGTTGATGAAAATAACATTTGCTCAGTTTCACTGGTTAAGCAACAATCGCAAGAAAAACAATGAAAAAGAGTTAAAAAGCTTCCGACCTCTGTGGACAGTGGATCAGTCTGCCGTGATGACTGACTGAC